ACATCCAATCTAAACCTCCCCTGGCGCAACTTGAGGCCATTTCCTCTCGTCCTATCGCTTGTTACTTCGGAGAAAAGACCAACACCCACCTCGCTACAACCTCCTTTCAGGTAGTTGTAGAGAGCGATGAGGTCTCCCCTCAGCCTCCTTTTCTCCAGGCTAAACAGTCCAAGTTCCCTCAGCCGCTCCTCATAAGACTTGTTCTCCAGACCCCTCACCAGCTTCGTTGCCCTTCTCTGGACATGCTCCAGCACCTATGTATGTATGGAGCTGCAAGATTATTCATTTTTCATAAATGCATTCTTGTCTTTCTAGACACTATACACTTTTCTAAAGCGGTAACACTCACTAAATTATATCACACGTCTACACTTGAGACACGCTATTCCTTCCCTACATAGCAGCACAGCATTAGAGGGGGCCTTCTGCGCCATACCATAATTAAAAAAACCTAACAAATTAAAAATCCCAAACCCCACAATTATGCTCTCGAACAGCTGAATTAAAGTAGAGTACAGTTTTCCTAAAGAAGTGTGCCCACCATGGGAATAAACCACTCTTAGGAGAGGCCACGTGGGGACCCAAAGGTACGACCATTTTAAGTATCACATTTTAAAACCCCAGAAATCTCAGTGGAAAAGACACCATAAAGATATATTCTCATTATAGCAAAGGTTTCATCAGTTACTGTATAAAATGGGAACTGCAAAGATTTAAAACCTGGATTAAAGCCAACTATAAAAAGTCAATTTATAAGCAAGTGCCACAAAGTAAGTGAACTGCCCTGCAAAACAACAGTGACAGTGGACTGTACATAGCAGCAGGGACATACCCAGATCAAGACAAATAAAGGTGCTGCTTGGGTTTGTCTTTTTTTTTTTTTTCTCTCCAAGAACCATCTTTGAATTGTGACCAGAATAGCCAAAGCAACCTGCCTTTTAAACACATCTGCTCACGCAGATGAATCTCAGAAGGATTCCTGAGCTTCAGCAAGCTCAGGGAACTCCCACAGAAATGTAAGTGACCTTGTTGGTATCCAAATGCCATTGCTAAAGCATCTGAAAACTAGCACTTATTTTCCATATACATCCATGAGAATAGTAAACAAAATGGAAGAAGGTCTCAAATATTCCTTTCAAAAGATCCAAGTACAAAGTATGTACAGGCTTGGGTTTTGTTTTGTTTTTAAATGTACACAACTTAGATATCCACAACTGCACATAAGTGAGTTAAGCCTCAATGTACCTAATATGTCAGATCAGGTCTTCTTAGTATTAGGTTTTAACCTGCTCACTCACATTTGTTTTGTAACAACTCTGTTTTGTAACAGCTTTCTGGGTTTTTTGATTATTATTCTACTGCAAAATTGCTTTAAAAATGTTTTAGTGATTTTTACATTTTATAGTTAAATTAAAAACTATATATACACAAATGCACATATAGCTTTATGGTTTCTCTTCAAGAAATGTTTTGATTTGGCTCTGCCTGAAGATTTATTTTTTTGTCCTTTCTTGATGATCTTCCCCGATTCGTTTCAGGTGACCAGCCCCGCTCCAAGCAATTACAGACAACCATGGAAACAAAACCTGAGCACTATCACTGCATACCTGCCACCCAGGGGAGCACCTGAAAGCACTATCCACTTCACCTCATGCCAAGTCTTTTCTAGGAGCTGTGGTGACAGAGCTACCAGCTACTCATCATCGCACATAATGAGGGCATAAATCATCTTGCAGAGAGGCCTGCCATGACTTTCAGCTGAGGCTGTCATCTTCCTAAGTCATTTTCTTTACAGAGCTTCTTTTGTTGCAGCTCTTTTACATTTCTTAGTTTTCATAACTGCTACATAAGAGTTTCATTTTACTTGTATTAATCTTTTGACACTACTGAAAAAAAAAGTAAAAACCTAAATTCTGGTGCTTTTTTTTCTTAAAGAGAGAGTCAAACCAAGAGTTATGTCCATATGGCAGGCACATAGGATCATGTTTGCTTGAACTAATTCCATTATCTTTTGTTTGAGGAGAAACAACTCATAGTCCAACCTCCATACTTTTAATGGACACTAAACCTTTTTGGGGTTTCACCCAAATTTACTTGTTCACACATGCTGCTGCTTATGAGGGTATTAAATGGACAGCTGACTCCTTGACCTTCCCTGATTCTCTACAAGCAATGTTTGCTATAAATACACGTGTGTTCAAACACAATTATAAGTACATTCATATTGGCTGCTATAATCTCATACAATAGATTGTCAGCAGAGCTACTCTCACATGCCCAAGAAAAACGATACAAAAAAAAAAAAGAGATGACTGCAAATTACCTACAGCAGTTATCCAAGTGTGACTGACTATATCATTTAATGCTTGCAAGGAACAGCTACACACAGCAGGGAAAGAAAAAAGGTTATTGCATTTAGTTTCTCAAGGGACACCTACTCAAGAACTTACATGCCACTATTCTCGGGGTGATATTCTGACAAACAACACAATCCCACCTTTAAAGTCTTGCTTTGAATACCAGGAAATTGCCCTGCTAGGGAA